GTGTGTGTGTGTGTGTGTGTGTGTGTGTGTGTGTGTGTGTGTGTGTGATCCAAAAACTGAAGCGACAGACACAGTCAGTTACCACTTTCATTTACTAAAGTTAACTTAAACAATTAAGACACTGCTCTTTGCGCTCTGTTAAAAGCAAGCAGAAGGGGGTAGACTCTCTTCTGATCCGAGTTTCAGAACCATCTACAGTGATGCAAAGAAGGAACTAGAGGGGATTACTGTCACAGTGAGTGTTCACAGTGGGACAGAAATGGTGAAAATGTCCCTAATAAGCATATCCTCCACATACACACCACTTAATATAAACCAAGCATTTCCTTGGATAAGATTCTCCATCAATAATGTCAAGTTGTACTGAAGAGCAGATCAAAGTAATCAAAGTTACTTACTGAGGTGGATATTACACACAAAAACACACACACACACACACACACACACACACACACATATATATATACATACACAACAAACACTATGACAGTAACATTAAGTCAGCAAAAGTCTGGCTGTTTCCTTGTTTATATATTCATTTATTTATGACACAATAGTGGGAAATATAGACATTAAACCATACTACCAAGTATTCTGCATATCAGAGGGAATCGGTGCTGAATATTAACCATATTTAAGTGATGCTGTCATTTAAGGGCACAGGTACTTATTAGGCATACTGGATATTAGCGTATAGAAGCTTTCTGTTCTCAGCAGAATAAAAGAAAAGTATAGTGAAATAAAAGTGCTGTTTACTGTAAAGAAATTACAGTTAATATCGTGTACCACAACTTAACACTATGAAGCCCATGTCTATAACACCTTATAAAGACACTTAGAATTAGTTATAATCTGTTTATATAATTAAAGTTATTAATATTGATCATGCTTCATAAAAATAATCTTAACACATTAAGTATTTTTACAATGACATATAAGGTCAAATATCACCATTCTTCATAACTGCTGGTCACACCCTGACATGTTTTTTTCCAATGGTCATAGTGTATTATGATTCCCATAGTAATACATTTAAATATTTTAATAAGGCAATATAATCCTTATTATAATGCCTTATAATGTGATTATTAAACTAAGTCACCATTGTCTGCTTAAAGTAAAGGGAACAAAGTACCATCGGATCTAAAATGTCAGTGAGTGAATAGCAGTTATGAAGTATTAGGATACCTGACCTATATAAGAGGTGTCTAAGAGGTTAAGTTTTATGAAACACTTTATGCGTT